CAGAAAAAGAACGGATGAAGCGCTGTCGTGTGCAGTGCCTCCGATTGGCCTCAGATATCAATGTCTCGCGGTGACCTTATACGCGTACTAGCGACCGAAAGGTCGATGTGGCATCTGGAGCAACCAGCAAACAAAAAAAAGAAAGGTCTGCCGGCGTTTCCCGAGATCGCCGGCTCGGCGCGGATCACACGGCGCCGCCACGTCATCGGCGTGACTTTTGCTCTATCTTCTCTCCACTGCCAGTATCCTCCGAATCCTCGAACGACGAACACGCCTACGAGCCCGTCACTCCCAACATCGCTCGCAGCGCCCTCGAGCTCCCCGTCGCCTAGAAACCCAACTTATAGCGCAACTCCTACCTCTCCCACGGATCCACCCGCCGTCTGACCGTTTTTTTCCAAGTGGCCGAACGTTCGGAAAGGCGAAGGCCCTGCTCCCGAACGCTGCGTTCCGTGAACGCGTGAACGCGTGAACCCTTGCTTCGCACTTATCAAGTGACACGCCCGGTCAGCGCCTGGATGTCGTGCGGTCTCAGATCTGCCCCACGAGCGGTCTCACTACTTAGTCCGGCGGCGCTCTGGTACGACCGGTGTCGGGCGCGCTTTTCGTGCGCCTCTGCGTACAGTGGCATACACCGTCCGCCGCCGGACCCTCGAAGGGTTCGCCTCCTCGCCGCATCAACTGCGTCACCGCCCCGGTCTCCCTCGCCTCAATCCATTCGACATCGTCTTGTGTCTTGCTGGCGCGGCGCCGCTCGTCCTTCGTATGCTGATTCTATCCAGCTCCCCTCGCACATCCGCGTCTGCCTGTGTTCTTCCGCTCCCTCTCTTCTCTTGTTTGCCTGTCTGAGAATCCCGGACACCGATTCCTCTCTTAAATCCGGCTATGCGCAATCCTCCGACGAGCTCCATGAATATCTCCCACACAACCACGCGCATCCTGTCCCTCCTCGTCGTTCGAGTGCATAACGCATGACGAGCAAGCCCCTAACGTCTCCCGCCCCGTACTTTCTCTGGGCCATCCCTGTGCTCTCTTACTCGAGATTCGGCGCCGAATGCCCTCTGCACGCTGTACCAGGCTCTCTGCTGCAAATTCGCGTACGTCTACTGCAGTCGGCGCTTATTGTTTCGCTCCGCGCCATAAACTATAGATCTTAGCGCTGCTTCCTCGATTCTGTCATCGCCCCTATGTCGTCCCTCGCGACTTGAGTCTTCCCTTCGGCTCTGGCCTCAACGTTCGACCTTCGCTTCATCGCATCTACCTCTGCCTCGAATCCCTGCCGGATCGAACTCAGTTACCGGGACAAGGCACGTACATCCTACACTGCACGCCGCCTGCGAGGGCTTACGCACGACGGAGCGCTTCCTAGGGCTCCGGATATCGTATCGTCATCCCGGCGCACGTATCCCCGTGTATTGTTGGCTGACCACCTATCGACCGTGCCCGCACTGCCGCCTGCCATTTGCTACCTCCGCTCCGCACCCTGTTCTTCCCTTGCACCCCCGCCGAGTGCGCTACGTCCACGATCTGGCGCTGCATGCGTTTGCGAGGGCCGGGCTCTCTTCTTGGCCTTGCCTACGGCTTTGGTGCGACAGTTAGCTTTGTTTCAAGGCGCATAATCAATGGATCCGAGAAAGGAACCGTGCACGGGTGCGGAATGCTAGTCATCGGCGCGCTTGCTGTGTCAATGCTCACAAGCCCGAATCACCGATCCCGGCACTCTTAATCTCGTCTTGTACATCTGTTTCCCACCAGTACCAGTGCCAACCCTCGAAGTCGCCCAGATGCAGCCGCGACTCAGGTGAGACACAGAATGGCCGTACGATCCCAATCGGCGCCGCGCGCTCTCAGCCAGCGCCATGGCCTTGGGCGTCCCCCTCCCCTCCACGACTGCTTCGCGCACGCGTGGAACGCGGAGGGATTCGAGACGCTGCGCGATGGCTGGGGAGCGAGAAGGATAGCGTTCCGACGCACGCGAGGACCAGCGCGCCCGCCTGGTGCGCCTTATCAACCAGCGCCCCGAAAGCGAGCGTCTCCTTCCACGAGTGCTCCCCGCGTGCCTCCAGACGCCATAGAATCGCGGCGCGGCCGCCCGACCCGCGCCGCGTCCGTGGCGCGACTCTGGCTCCGCGATCGTCGTAAGCGCAGCCGACCGAGAGCGGTGCGCTCGTCCAGGCGAGGACGCGGTTGGGACATCATCACCGCGAGCAGAGTGGATGTGCCGCACGGAGGGTGGGCGCCGGAGCGGCGAGGAGGTTGACGATGGGGACGGAGCGTGGTGAACACGACATCCTTCATCGATCCGGGTCCGCTCTGAGGGTCAGTGCCACATTGCGGGTATGTAGGCGCCACGATACTGCGAAGCGCGAACGCATGCGACGCGGTGGGTGGTGCGCGAGGACGCACGGCGCACCGCGCCCGCCGTGCCACGCTGGGTGCTTACGAGGACGAGGTCTTCGAAGCCGGCGCAGGCGATGGGGACCGAGCGGGCCTGCATTCTCCCAAACGAGGGAGCTCCCGTCCTCTGAAGCTACGCACTCCTCGGGCGGGGGACCTCATAGTGCACCGCGCGCGCCCCAAGTCGAACCCCGCGCCAAACGGAGCACAAGACAGGGGCCCATCATTGACAGATACTTCCATCCGATCGGTGATACGCCAAATGCGGCTGAAGTGGCACGTGGAGCCCCCGCCTTCCCCTTCTTCCCCCTTGTCATCCGGCGCCCTTCATGCCTTCATGCTTCTGCTCCTCGCCCGCCTCCTCTGCTGCTGCGCTCGCCGCCGCCGCCGCCCCGCTGCCGACGAGACTCTCACAGTGCGTGCCCTTCGCCGTGGGGGACGTGCCTGTGCTGATTGGTGTGGCAGACGATCCCGAACGAGGCCGCGCGCCTGCTCCCCCCGCCCTCTTCCCCGTCCGCCACCGACCCGGTCCCTTCTTCGTGCGTCCCCTCCCAGCCCGCACCCCAGAACGCGCGCTGACGACGCAGAGCCGCGCCGCCGCCCCACGTCAATGATCGCCTGCGCGAAATAGTGCGCGCCGCGGAGGCGTGCGTCGCAATCCCTTCTCCGTAAGGCCTGCGCTCCTAGTTAACGGTCGGCCTCGACAGGAAGATGGTGAGCGTCGCCGCACGCGCGCCGTTCGCGTTCGCGCTGCCCCCACCACCAACACCACACGACGCCGAAGATGCCGGAGAGTCGCGCGCGCGCCCGCCTCCACCAGTGCCAGTTCCCGTGTTCACGATGACGCCCGCGCGCACGTACCTCTACGCCTACGCCGGCGCGTGCAGCGAGAGCGGGAGCCGCAGCAGAAGCCGCAGCCGCCTCTCCTCGCCCGCGCCCCCGGGCTCCCGCGCCAGCGCTGCGGTGGCGCTTTCGGAGGAGGTACGCCCCGTCTCTCTCCATCTCGCTCTTTGGGTACGGCTGACGCCGTCGTGTGCAGCCCCCTCCCTCTCCGTCCGATGCACCGTCTTCGCACGCGGCGGACGGGCATGAGCCCGACCCGCGCGCGATCGCGCTCACGTGGGACGACTGATCTACTCGGGCCTCACGAGACGATGTCAGCCAGACAATGGACGACGACGCGACGACAGACCCACACGACTCGGCACGCACGCCTCAATTTGCACGCCACGCAGCCTCTCTCCTCCCCTTCTCGCTCCGGCACGCTATGCACTGCCGCCCGCCCGCCCGTTCCCCTGTTCAGGTCTCCCCGTACTCCCCGTACTCTCGTAATCACGCATCGCCCTCCCCACCAGCCCCCGCGCGCCACACCAAAACGACGCGCAGCCTTCCGCTCCATCCTGCTGCTACTGCTTTCGTTACCGCCACTGCCACGCACCCCACGCTCGTTCCCCGGACACGCCTACGGACAACTGACTCTCACTATCGTTATTCCCATTGGATCTCAGGTCCCTCCCTCCCCGTATCGTTATCGCCCTTGCTTAGACTATTGCTGAGTCTACGACCCACGCTCGTTGATACTACCGCCCTCAGCGATACTACCCCGGACACGGACCTCCCTCACGAGCCACTGCCCCGGACGCGGCTTCTACCATACCCATCGTATTATACCTGACCTGTCTTCATATCGCTATCGTTATATCGTTATATCGCTCTCGCTATCACTATTGCTATGTATCCTACCTACATGGACGCACGGACAAGCCTTAATATTAATATTGATATATATCCCCCGCCTCTCGCCTGCGACGCCCGGCTCGCCACAGCGCACGCGCGACGCCACCACGTGTCCCCGCTCGTCCCCCGCGCACTGTGCCTCGCATCGCGCGCTCGCGCCGCCTCGATCCCGCGGTCGCGCGCACACCGCGCCCACCATCCTGGTGCATCGCACATCCCGCCCTCCACGCTCTACGCTCCGCGATGCGCGATGCGCGCCTCGTATGTAAGAGCAGCTAGCTGGGGCCACTGGCATCGGAGAGCGTGCGAGATCCAACAAGACTCAGACCCCGGGTCCTAGTGAGCCTGGCGCATCCTTAGAACTTGAAGTGAGGGTGTACAAGTACAAGGCAGGGGTTCTTGGAGCGCAGAGTTCGTTGACAGCAGGCCCCAGGGCGACGCGAGGAACATGAATCAAAGGGGCAGCGCGTGAGACGAAGGGGTTACATGAGCCGAAGCGGCGACGCTCCGCTGAAGGACGAGGGGCGGCGTCAGTCGAGGTAGGGAACGCCGCACTCGCAGACGAGGAAAGGAAAAGAAGAACGAGTGAGCGATGACGTGGCACAGCCTTTGCCCCTGATCGGCACCGGTGATTTCGGCAAACGCCGGCAGCAATCTTATCTCTGGTACCTCGCCTAGAGCGCAACCCTTTGCGTTCATGCCTTTCTCGCAAGCTTTGGCCGATTGGATAGTTAACTTTCTTCTAGCAGTGTATTCGCTTTCCTCACCCGCTGCTCCACAGGTGCACGAACCTCTGAAAATGTGAACTTGAACTCGAGAACAAAGCACCTCGTCTAGCAGCTACAAGGCCGCTGCTAGCTTTCATCGGTTCGATGGCGGACGGTCCGCGCCTGCCCACGGTACCCAGCATTCATGGTGTCTACATAGCGCAGGAGACGCTCGTTCGACCCGGGCTCGAACCTTTGGTCTGAAGTTCCTTTTTGGAACAGTATTGACCCGCTCGAGATCTCGCGCGCCCGCATATCAATCGGGCTGGAGAAGAGCCTCGGACAATGCCGAGCCCGTCCTAAATAATAAAACAGAACAATGTTAATGCGTGTAGTGTGTCATAGACTTGTTCCGGGACTCACGCTGCCCCTGCAGTTCATGGGCGACCGCCGACTGCCGATCGCGATCCCGCAAGTCTTTCCTCGTTTGGGATCCAGCGCTGGGAAACGACCCCGAATCGAGATGCCCTCCGAGTTCACCCGATTTTCGAACCACTGCACTGAGAGGAAATCTCTACATTAATGAAAAAGCTGCGTGACAGTGGATCCCCCTTCCCCGCGAAAAGGCAAAAGAACGCACACCAATATGAGCCACTATTGCCCGGGCTCGAGTCGAACGAGCTGCCCCGCAGATGCATACCACAACCATCTAACTGTATGCGGGCGGCGACCATCGCCACCGGGCCTTCTGTGCATGCCTAAATTTCTGATTTTGTGTCTGAGGGCAGGACGATTCGTGCGGATGCGACTCGCACCGAGGGTAATATTGTTTCGAAAAATCACCGAAGTGCTCACCTGATTATTGATACGCCGATATCAGTATTCCTGCGTTTCGCCCACGGTTCAAGTCGAATACCCAGACAAAAATTTCCATTTACTCCAGTCATGGCCCGGGCTCGAGTCGAACGAGCTTCCCCGCAATCATCAAATTACTATCATGCAGTGCAACATGCATGCAGGAGGAACCAACCGCCACCGGGCCGTCCCCGCAGACCGTTTAAATTCTTCCGATCTATACCACAAACTGCATCGCCGATGGAGACGCCGCGGGGTCTCGGGGCCGGAGATGAGCCAGCGGGGCTCGCAGCGGGATGGGAGTAGAAAGCTGAAAACCCAATATGATTGCCGAAGACAGCGATCCCAAGCTAACAACTACAAACTAACTCCGATATCCCGCGAGAGCTGTCAGCCACACCACACCGACGAACGTTGAACGAGGAACGATGGCTGGCGGTCAGCTGTCCTCGAAACAAGACAAAAACATCAGAGCACCGTTTGAAGCGGCCCGGGCTCGAGTCGAACGAGCTCCCCGCGATACCTTCCGGTTCTGTATACACCGGATGCGGGTGGCGCCGATACGCCGCCGGGCCTCGTTTCCCAACATGGTTTCCGTGATAAAAGTAGAGTCGTGCTGCGGCGCCAGGGATAGAGGTTGTGAGATGTGCTGCTCCGGGAGAGCCCAGCCGGGGGGTTGGAAGAGGTTGAAAGTCCCATACCAAGGTCTTGACGCCTGAGCGTGGCTCTTTTCTCGGGGCTAGCGCGCCTGAAGACATTATCGCGTGAGGCAGCTCGGGGTTTCGGTCAAGCGTACGAATCGAATGGAGATTCGGAACGCGGGAGCGAGCGAGCGATCCGCCGCAATGGGATTGATACTTGAGAGCGAGAACATCGTCTCCAGAGCAGGAGCCAGCACAGGAAGGGAGCTGTTTAAATCAGCGCTCCGTGCCCGCTGGATCGCGCGACGGGGACGCGGTGTGCGGCGCCCGGAGGAATGGGGCGGAGCGCGAAGAACTGAGCGAGGGACGGGCGGCGTGAATAGGAGCCCGAGAAGACAGGGAGGTAGCGTCAGGCCTGAGGCAGGGCTCCCCGTTGTGCTATTGAGTAGCGTGCGTTCGATCCGTCGGGTATCTGAGCCGGGTTAGGCCACGGGGTCGTGCTGGAGCGAAAGTCAACAATGATGCCGAAGCCGAAAGAAAGACTAGAACAAGAGTTGGGGGGAACAGAGGCAGAGGTGGGGTGGAAAAGACAAGATCGTTCGAAGCGAGACAGAGAGGGCCAGGTGTAAGAAAGGACACGGATACTTGCGGCGCAATTGGGTTGGCATGCGTTGCGCAGCCGCGGCGGAAAGAGGAACGGAATGCGCGCACCCGCGTGGGGAAGATGCATAGAGCGGGAGCTGGGACGCAGACGTACTCCGAGGCCGATCGCGCAAAGGCAGGTTCGCGGAGGTGATTGGCGTAGGACTTGCGCGCATGGGACGGGGAGCAGAACGCAGGGGCCGAGCATCGATAGCGGCGCGCGGGGGTGGCAGCAAGGAGCAGGGACGAGGATGAGCAGGTGCGGCAGGGGTCTAGAGCGGCGTGCGCATACCGTAGACGGACGACAGCGCACGATAACCGCGGTGCAGCGTTCGAGGTAAAGCTTGCGCACAGCGGAGCGGGAGTGTAATCGGAGCGCTGAGTCTAGGGCGGGCAGGGGCAAGCGCGCGAGGGCCCGTCAGCGTCAGATGCGCCCGAGGAGCGCGCCCGACGCCGCCAGTACCAGAGCTTCGTGGTAAGATCGTACGTCAAAGCGGCGGGGCCAGATATGAGATCACGCGACATAGAGCCACCAGCCTCTGAGTTGACCAGGGGCGTCGATAGAAGATGAGTCGACGCGAGGGCATGGGACGCAGCGTTCCCCGACCCCGTCGCACGCCGTGGAAGCGGAACGTCGCGTTCAGGGATTGACAGCATCGGAGCCACTCGGAGAAAAAGTTTCAGAGGGACGGCGGGACGGCGGGCGGAGATGCGCGGACCGCATAGGCTGCGTTGTGTGGCGACGGGCGAAGCAGCGTCGTGGTTTGCGTGGTGGAGGGAGACATATTGGAGGAAGGAGGAAAGCTTTAAGAAGAGAAGGTGGGCCGATGACGTGGCACCGCCGCGCGAATCGGGGTGATCCGCATGATCGGCGATCTCGGCAATCCCCGACTTCGGTCAATTTTCTGCGGCTCGCGGGCTTTGGCCGACTCCTCAGCGGAACAGTGGAGCCTCTGCAGCTGTGGCTTCGCTTTTCCCACCCGCTACCCCCAGTCTCTCATGATCCCGTGAATCTCGTGTTACTTAAGTTATTTCCAAGACTCCAACAAAAGTCGAACTTCAATGTCAATCTGGCAGCGACAACGGCGACGCACTGGCCTGGGTCTATATCGGCTCGATGGCGGACGGTCCGCGCTTGCCCACCGTTTGAAGGTTGCAATCTATATCGCATGTGCGCAAGAGATTTGATGCCCGTTCAACTCGGGCTCGTTCCTCCTTCCAGATAACTTTTTAGAAGACAAGCCCGGATTCGACCTCCCTGCATCTCATGATCATGCACCTCTGGGGTAGTTGACGACCTCTGGGCGTACTTAGTTTACGATTCTCATCACAGCGCGATCCGACCAGTTTAGCCGTGTCTTGACTCTTGAATAATTACAAATGGTTTCAACAAGACCCCCATCGGTCCTTGAGAACAGAGCAATAACCGGCTCGATGACATGGCCGGGGCCTGAAGCTGTCCGCAATTACTTTGTTGATCTTTCCCGACTCTGTGCAGGTGGATTGCAGGTGGCGACCATCCGCCCCCGGGCCTTCATGTTATACCTGATTTCCGATGTGGATGGGGCGTGTCGCAGCGAGATATCTAGATAATGCGAAGGATTCCATTCAATTATAATCAATATAGAATCAGTACGCGCCAGATCGCGGCGCGTCGCTCATGATTCAGATCAAATAGTCGGTGCCGTTTGTCTGTTCAGACCGACAAAAACCTTTTACTTGTTCCCCCTCCATGACCCAGGCTCGAATCGAACGAGCTCCGACGCGGTAGTCGCCCTTGTCGTTACTGAATGCGGGTGGCGACCATCGCCGCCGGGCCTTCGTAGCTTCAAGCTTCATCGCATACCTGATTCACAGTCTACGGACGCAAAGACCCTTGGGGCGATGAACCACTATGAAGATATTTTTTAATGATTGTGAAATCCTCACCAGGATATTGGATATTGTAACATATCCCTGCGCTCCCCCCATGGTTCAAGTCGAATACCCACTGACCGTTGAAAACAGAAAAAGTCTCACTAACATCTATGAGTGATGCCCCGGGCTCGAGTCGAACGAGCGTCCCACGGAATTGTACTGGAATTCGATCATGGGGTGTGGTGGGCGCCCACCGCCGCCGGGTTTTGTCTTCAGATACTTTTTGGGTGGGATGAGGGCGTTGGGGTGTGCCAGGGATGCACCCGTCCAGGGAAGGTCGGGTGTTGAATTGAATCTCTGACAAGTCGGGTTCAAGGCTCCAGTGTTGAACTCAGATCGAATAAGGAAAGAGTCTGAACGGGCAACCCCAGATATCTGCGGCCTACTTGGATTCGCGAGCGTGATGACTGACCCCTGGCCCCGCATTGATGCGTTTGGGAGAACCTCGGGGATCGGAGTACTAGGGGCTAAGTACATAGACTTGAGAGCGAGCCTTCGTGCGTCGAAAGACAAACAGAGCCCACGAACAATTGACGCTAGGTATGCGGGGTGTCATTCAATACAACGAGGATGGCTTCGCAAGAGACGAAAACAACATAGTCAACTGAGGCCGAGGCTCGTCGGGGATGAGCGAGCCTGGAGGTAAGCAGCGAACGAAAGCGGGCAGGGAGTATCTGAGAGACAGAAAAGCGCAATCGGCAGAGGTAGAAGGGCTTCGTTCAGTGCGGACAAGACGGGACGTGCACCGCGGAGGGTGGTGGGCGATTTACCGCGTGGGAGATTCAGGGTACGGCCAGAGACGACTAGACAGGGAGTCATGCGCGCAGGCAGAGGAACGACGCGCAGAGATGAAAGGCACCCCGTGAGAGAGAGCGGAACGCGAACAGCCCGAGGCCGACCGCGGGGTGGGAACGTGAGTGCGGTGCGAATTCCTGAGTGAGCTGGCGTTGCCTCTGTTCAATGTTCGAGAGTACGATAGTGGCAAGGGATCTCGGCGCGGGGGCGCAAAGAGCGGGAAGTAAGCGCGCTGGGAGCAAGCGGGCGCCAGACGGAGTAAGGAAAGAAAAACGGTAGACGGTCCAGGAGGTTGATATTGGAGTGCGCGTTCGAACACATTGAGAATCAGTAGGCCGGGAGTGGGCGGGATAGACGGCGCAGCTCACCTTTCAGCTATGCGCCACGGATAGACCAGGTCAATAT